GAGCTGAATGGCCTACTCCTGTCCCTATATTTTCTTACTCTGGACTGTTCCCTGTCCTTTTCTACAGTCAATCTAAATCCCATGAACAATGATCAATCCCTGTTAACTGTCAGCAGACAAATTCACAGGGTCCTGATGGTCTTCTTTCTAGGATCTTAATGGAGGTTGCTAATGATGCAATAGATGCACTGGTGTTAAATTTTCCAAAGTTCCTTCATTCTAGATTATCGAAATGTTCCATCAGACTGGAAAGTAGAACATAACTCCTTTATTCAGGAAGGGAGGGAAGCAGAAAACAGAAAGCAGGAAATTATAGGTCAGTTAGCTAAAATGACAAGGGTAGCAGAAACATGGGAACACCATCAATTGCAAGCTCCCCTCCAAGCCACTCACCATCCTGACTTGGAAATATATTGCTGTTCCTTCCCTAAGGGTATTGTGGCTCTACTTAAATCACATGAACTGCAGCAGTTCAAGAAGGCGACTCACTACCACTTTCTCAAGGGCAACTGGGTATAGGTAACAAATGCTGGCTCAGTCAGCGATTGCCATGAGTGAACATATTTTTAAAAATTCTCATTTCACTGTCCCTTTATATCATGGTCAGTAATTTTAATAAAAGTGGCCCAACAGCCAGTGGGCCAGCAGGATGAATTAAGGGTCATTGGATCTAGAATCCCTAAGTGTAGAAGCTGGTCATTCAGCCTATCGAGTCCACACCGACCCTTCGAACAGCATCCCACCCAGACGGACCATCCTACTCTGTCCCTCCATTTCCCACTTAACCTGCACATCTTTGGACTGTGGGAGGAAAACCACACAGACACATGGAGAACGTGCAAACTCCCCACAGTCGGTCACCTGAAGCTGGAATCAAACCTAGATCCCTGGCACTGTGAGGCAGCAGGTCTAATGACTGAGCCACCGCACCGCCTAATGTTAACCTGAAATGTTAACTCTGATTTTTTCTTCACGGATACTGCGAGACCTGCTGAGATTTTCCAGCAATTTCCGTTTTTACAATCTGCAGTTCTCTTGGTTTTTTGAACTAATTGCATGCTTTATGGGATCAGTTTAACTTGTTATTAAACATACTACAGAATCAGCTTGTTTTTTAAACCACACTCAGTAAGGAATTGTAGACAACCATCGCTCAGTCCAATCTTATGGCATTTAGGATTATCTGTGGGAATTCTGTGTTATGTTGTCACTTTTCCAAATGTATCTTTACTTGCAAATAACTAGGCCAATCAAAAAAAACATATCTAAACCATTTCAAGACCACTTCAGTTATATCTATATAAGCCGCTGAGAAGTTTACTAAGAGCCAGGACTCAGATGCAGTTCAAAACTAATACCTGGAGATGAGGCTGGACTACTTCACTACTTTTGTTCTTCAGTGACTGGCCTATAGATGTATCAGCAATAAAGCTGTGCAATTTAACAGGAATTGCTCAAGTTTCTACCCATGAAAACAAATGCAATTTGTCCTCCCCTTTTCCCCAGTTAACTGGTAATGACTTTTCAATCATGTTAAGATTTGTTAGTGTAATTGTCAAGGTTAAATGAAACAGGACATGGGTATTAATTGTCAGAGAACTTATAAAAAAAGATGCCAGCTGAGACAGTGGAAATGTTGGATAAGAGCTGTAAGGCTGAGCAAATCAATAAATTCTTCCCCATAAAGAAAAAGTGTCACTCTTTCCATCTCACCAGCTGACTGGAGTCTGTTAGTATTAGGCATGTAACCAATAAATCCAAAGCTCCAAGCCTGTTACTCGCTCGTTCAAACAAAAAAATTCCACTGAGTTTAAGCACCAGAGTCAGTCCTGGAAATGTTCAGTACCAGATTTGTTGTATAGACCTGCACTGATTTTTGGCTATGTCACTGTAACCCATTTTGTAAGTTTTTAATTAGATATTATCACAGATTTGTCAACAACAAATGTATGACAAACTTACTATTTTCCTGTAATTTTGTATTCAATTTTAGAAGTGTTGAACAATTGGTCATTTATATTTTGAAGTTCCTCAACTCTTTTTCGTGCAATAATCCCAAATGATAGTCACAGTGCAGAAGTCTGATCTCAGAGTGAAACCTGGCTTGATAGATCATATGTTTCATTTTTCAGTTTGGTTACAGTGCTGGTCAGTTGCTGAACATATTCACACAAGGCTGCCAAAGCTACTTTAACAAAATAAAATACAGTTTATCATACGATCGGCAAAAAAGGCTATAAAGAAAGGTTCAACTGTTTTCCTAACAGTATCCTTTACAGTTTCGTAGTCCTCATTCTAATTCTGATGGCTTGAAGACTTCTACAAACTAAACTCTCATAGTCTGCTGTCTTGTACGAACTGTAAATCTAACTTTTTAATAGAATGACTTTTCTGTTGAATTCAATCTACTGGTGGTCCCTGAATATCTGTTTTTATATCATAACTCAACTTAGTAAACATTCAGCAATTAACTTTCCAGGTAGCTAATCGAATTGTTTAACTTAAGTCACATGTTTTCCCTGAAAAGTTGTCTCTACTTCCCTGCTCAGAATTACTTCCTAACATTTATTTAAAAACAGTCATCTTCATAAAACAAATCCATTTTCCTTCACTTTTGAATTCAAATTTCCAAATAACAATATACTACAACTTGCATCACACCTTCTCCTCCCCTGAAAAATGACAAGATATGCATAAGAAGTATGTTTATTTTCTATCAAAATTTCTTATGATCACTAATTAGATTTTACTTTGACAATAATAATATATTTACATTCAGATTTTCATAACAGCACATTCATAAGCCACGTTCAATACAACAGAAACAGAAATTGCTGGAAAAACTCAGCAGTTCCAGCAGGTCTTTTGAAGAGAAGTCACTGGACCTGAAATATTAACTCTGCTTTCTCTCCACAGACGCTGTCAGGCCTGCTGAGTTTCTCCAGCAATTTCTGTTTGTGTTTCTAATTTCCAGCATCTGCAGGTCTTTTTTTATATACTACGCAACTCTGTGTTGATCATGACTTTCCTTTTCTTTTATATTTGCTTTGAACAAAGCAGTCACTATTATATTGTATTTTCCTGTTGTAACTGTTTTTTTAATGTTGTATGGTTGAAACATTAAATTCCCAACAAACCGTCTTAAATTCTTAACTCTGAATCTGTGGGGAAAAAGTGAAAACATTATGGTCCTTACAAACATCAGTTTCTGCAGAATTGTCTGAATATGTAAACTTTAAAGGTTTTACTGCCAAAACCAGACTCTGTCTTTTACACCATTGAGATGCACTTAACTTCTTGGAAAAATAATGATTGTCCATTTGATCTGCAACTTGTCTTTCTGTAACATTAAAGTAGTAACACTGGCGTCCACAGCCAGTTCAAATTGCCCTTTCTTCACTCATGGGATGTAGACATTGCTGCCTGACCAGCGTTTACTGCCCATCCCAAAATGGTCTCAAGAAGGAGGTAGTGAGCTGGTGTCTTGAACAACTGCATGCATGTGCTATAGGTAGTCCCACAATGCCGTTACGGAAAGAATTCCAGGATTTTGACCTAGTGACACTGAAGAAATAATGATATTTCAAGGTCAGGATGATGAGTTGCTTGGAGGGGAGTTGGCAGGGGGTGGTGTTCCCATGCACCTGCTGCCCCTGTTCTTCTAGATGGAAGTGGTCGGGGGTTGGAAGGTGCTGTCTAAGGATCTTTAGTGAATTTCTGTAGTGCTTCTCACACTGCTGCGGTGGTGGTGGGAGTGAATATTTATGGATGAGCTGCCAGTCTGCTTTGTCCTGGAACGTATCAAGCTTTTTGAGTGTTGTTGGAGCTGCACTCATCCTGGCAAATGAGGTGTATTCAATCTGACTTGTGCCTTGTAGACGGCAGACAGGCTTTGAGGAGTCAGGAAATGAGTTACTTGCTGCAGTATTCCTAACCTCTAACCTGTTCTTAGAGCCACTGCGTTTAATGGTTAGTTGAGTTGAGTTTCTGGTCAATGGTAAGCCCCAGGATATTGATAATGGGGTTCAGTGATGGTAATGCCATTGAATGTCAAGGGGCAATGGTTAAATTGTCTACTATAGGAGATAGTCATTGCCTGGCATTTGTGTGGTGCATGTTAACTGCCATTTGTCAGCCTAAGCCTGGGTATTGTCCAGATCTTGTTGCATTTGGACATGGACTGCTTCAGTATCTGAGGAAGTACAAATGGTGATAAACATTGTGAAATCATCGGTGAACATCCCCGCCTCCAACCTTATGATAGAGGGAAGGTCCTTGATGAAGCAGCTGAAGATGTTTCGACGGAGGACGCTAGCCTGAGGAGCTCCTGCAGAGATGTGCTAGAGCAGAGATAACTGACCTCCAACAACCATAACCATCTTCCAATATGCCAGGTATGACTCCAACCAGCACAGAGGTTTTCCCTGATACCTATTGATTCCAGTTTTGTTAGGGTTCCTTGATGTCACACTTGGTCGAATGCAGCTTGATATCAAGTCACTCTCACCTCACCTCTGGAATTAGGTTTTGAAAAACTATCAACTATCCTCTAAGTCGACTGCTTCAGACAGCTCCTCCTCAGAGGGTATAATCTTGGTGATCAACAGCTACAACTTTGGACTAAAAGAATGCTTTTTGTCTCACACTAGAATTAGCAAACACAGCCTAAGATGAATGCAGATATTTTAAATGCTTTTGATTCTCTCCCTCACCTCTCATGCCTCAGCCAAACACTAAATATAATTCAATTTGAGGGTTTAAGGATCAGATCCTTTCAAGATTTCTTATTTTGGGCAGACTCAGATATTTTACAACTGAGTTTTTTCAGGCATATGACAGAGGTTGCAAAGTGGAAATAATATGTTGAGGACTAGAGGGTTGCCCTAAAATATATTTCAAATTTAAACATTGAAAATGAGCCTCAGTTTCACAACTGAGTCTAGTACAAATACTGAGCCAATCCACTAATTAGTACTGACATAATGTAGTTGTTCACTCACCTTTTCTTCAGTGATTTCTTTCTCTTGTTGGGAAGAGTTAAGCTAAACCCCAAATAAAACAAAAAGAGTAAATTAACAATCTACGTTCAGAATTTAATTAATGAATCAAATGTTGAGGAAAGAAACAATGTAAATGAGCATCCTTACTTCAATGCTTTTGCTCTGTTGACCCGAATGGTTCAAACGTGGACTGACACTTTCTGATGAATCCACTTCAGAGCATCGCAATGTTGCATGTTTCTTCTTGATCAGATCTGCATCTCGATTGTAAGTGAACCCTAATTTATGGGCTGGAGATGTAATGGATTTTCGAACAGAAGAACTCGGCTCTGATCTGCTGCTCTCAGAGTGTGAATACTGAAATTTCTCATGCTCATGTCCAGAGCTGCTGCTAGTATTACCTGAATAATCTTCCTGTTCAAGTGTTGGTGATTTACGTTCCTTTTTATCACTAACGTCTGACGAGTCAGTTAAGTCTAAAATGTCTACTTTCAGCAGTTTTCTTTTGTTTAATGGTGGTATTTGTCCTTGTAGTGGTGTAGACTCTGTGCTTTCACTTTCATTGGTATCCTCTAGTAAAGAACTCTGAGCAGTATTCTGTTCAATGTCTGAATCATTTTTAGTCCTTTGTGAGAAAGGTATTGTTGCACTTATATTCGGAAGGTCATCAGGAGTCTGTCGCTCACTTTTTGACTCACCAACATCGTCACTGAGGAATGTACAATATTCCTGAGATGAAGCATCAAGTAATACACTGCTCGGTTGTTGTGCTGTTGCCTCATGTTTAACATCATTTATCTCTGCATAAAATTGCTCCTGATCAATGGAGCTGTTTGTGTCAGTTTCAAAGTTACCAACTTTGTACTTGCTTTTACTGCTGTTTTCTTCGATCTGGACCACATTCAATTCTTCGCCGCTGAAATGTGCCCTTATCTGATAAAGGTAGGTCATAACGGACAGTTTATCTGGAATAGCCAATAAAACCATATCTGCTGGTTCCAATAATCGTGATATTCCCAAGCTCGCAAAGCCATCATAAGCCTATGAGAAACAAAAGCAGCAATTATTACAGCATTTAGACTCAATAAAATTAGACAAATATGATTTTTGGGAGAAAAATGTGCAGCCATAACATTTATTGACACAGACAAGATTTTCCAAATAAATTAAGTTATTTGGAACCTCTAGTTTCTTTAAGTATTTCTTATTAAATTTTCAATATGAATTCTGCAACTTAAAATTAAATGATTCATTTGTGAATTTACACTGAATTTAGAATAAGTGTCTTAGATATTCGAACAGAGAGATGCACACAGAAACAAGCTAGCTTGGTGTAACGATAAACTTAAGATATCATTTCTTTGCATCTAGTTGAACGAAGGTAAATTTCCCAATCACTTACACACATTATACACATTCACAAAAACATATGCATAGACATATACTGTATTAAAAAAAGTGATAACATAAATTCTGGTGTTCTAGAATTACGAACTGGGTATTGAGAAGGAAATGTACTTGCAAGACTAAATATGTTACTTTTGAGAAAATTACACCTGACTTACAACAGCATAATTCTGTTTACTTAGACTAATGTTCTCCTCTCTTCAAGTTACTTAGGAAGAATTAAAATATCAGAGCTTGCATACTATTAGATTACAATACTGTTATGCCATGAACACAACTTAATGATAGTACAATATTAACATTTGCTACCATTTTGATTCAGTTTATAGTGTAAGCAATCACATATTTTTCCTTTTTGAACTAAAAACTCAAATGTAAGTCAGACACTACTTTCCAGCTAAAATACTAGGAGAATTTTGTAATTTTGAAAATCAAGTGGTGAAAATTTTTAGCTGAACAAGACAATATTGCTGTTGAAACAGTGAGACGGTTACATTTTTGAGTTAGAGCAGCACTAGCAATTTTGAGATAAGGAAGAACTGCCTGGTGATAGCACCCAGGTTGGTCAAGCTAAAATTTATTACAGAGTGATAGGAGCAGTGCACCAAGAACCATGCAAAGGCAGCAAAGACAGAATACCCTGTCTCTTCTCCACACGCATGAAAAGACAGAAAAACCACGAAACTTAAAATAATTCTTGTATAAGAAACAGTATGGTCTACCTGATCAACAATCAATAATGACAATCACTCTGCAGACAACAGCAAATCATTATTGCGAAAATCAATAGAACAGTGAGAAATCACAACTTGCTGGTGTGATCTGGATTATTTTGGTCGTCAGCATTTTGATCTCCCTGTCAATGCTTCTCTATTGATTGTATGTGTACCAAACTGTCTGCTTTTGTCACTTTTATTTGTGTGAGAGTGAGAGAGGGAGGGGTGGAGAGAGAGAGACAGAGAGAGTGCGAGAGGGGGAGAGTGCGAGCGCAGAGTGAGCGAGTGAGCAAGAGAGAGTGAGAGATAGAGCGAGAGAGAGTGAGAGAGTGCAAGACAGAGAGACAGTGTGAGAGAGAGAGAGAGAGAGCATGTGTGTTTGCGGTTTAGATTAAATCACATTTGGTAGTTTAGAAATCCTTTCTTTTGTCTGCTGTTTGTTAACGAATAAGAGTGTTTTCAATGAATAGTGTTTTATTGCTGTTAATGATGAAACCTAGCATGAATTGCGTTTGTTGATAAATTGATCATCGTGGTGGTTTAAATCAGGTATTCATACATTTGTTATGGCTTGTTGAACAGTGGGGCTCGATTATTGGCACACTCTTCCCGGTTAAGTCGTAACCATAGTTTGATCTACAATGATGTTCTATTGGTATTAATACAAAAATATCATTTTAATGGTAGAAAGATGGGAAGAGCAACATTGATTAGAAAAACTGAAAAGGAATACAGACAGAGATTGTCAGATATGAAAAACTAACTTGCATTTGTGTAGCATTTATTAACATTGAATAACATACACTTTATTTAGTGGAGAAAGAATCTTCAAACATTGGTTGCAGAGGAAGTTTAAGGACAGCTGTAAAGTGGACAGGCAAAGTGTCCAAGGGTGAAATTCCAGAACAGGGCATCTTGCTGGCTGAAGGCTTGGCTGACAATGGCTAGGCAACTGGAGACAGAAGCCCAACGTTATTAAAGTCTCCAGCACAGACACAAAATAGGACAGAGTGCTTGGAAAGGGTTAGGAATCAAACTTCAAGCACACTGGATAAACGAATGACAATGAGAAGAGGGATGGTCAATAAAGGACCGAAGGTGTTGTATCTGAATACTTGCAGTAAACAAAATAAGGCAAATGAGCTTGTGCTGCAGATCGAAATTGGCAGGTATGATGTTGCGGGCATCACAGAGACGTGGCTGCAAGGGGATCAGGGCTGGGAGCTCACATCCCATCAAAAAGACAGGCAGATGGGCAGAGAGGGTGGGATTGCCTTATTAGTAAGAAATGAAATTAAATCAATAGCAAGAAACAAAGTAGGGTCAGATGATGTAGAATCTGTGTTGGTAGAGTTGAGAAATCACAAATGTAAAAACACCGTAATGGGAGTTGTGTACAGGTCTCCAAACAGTAGTCAGGATTTGGGCACGAGATAAGCCCTGAGATAGAAAAGGTGTGTAAGGAAGGCAAGATTACTGTGATCATGGGGGATTTCAATATGCAGGTGGACTGGGAAAATCAGGTTGGTAGTGGATCCCAAGAAAAGGAATTTGTGGAATGTCTAAGAGATGGTTTTTTGGAACAGCTTGTTGCGGATCCCACTAGGGAACAGGCAATGCTGGGTTTAGTGTTGTGCTATGAGGCAGACTTGATAAGGGAGCTTAAGGTGAAGGAACCCTTGGGTGGCAGTGATCATAATACAATAGAATATACTCTGCAATTTGAGAAGAAGAAGATAGAATCGGATATAACGGTATTACAGTTGAATTAAGGCAACTACAGGGGCATGAGGGAGGAGCTGACCAGAATTGACTGGGAGAGGAGCCAAGCAGGAAAGACAGTGGAACAGCAATGGTAGGCGTCTCTGAGAGTCATTCGGGAGATACAGCAAAAATTCATCCCTAGGAAAAAGGAGCCTATTAAAGGGAGGATGAGGCAACCATGGCTGACAAGGGAAGTCAGGGACAGCATAAAAGCAAAAGAGAAAGCATGTAATGTGGCAGAGGGCAGTGGGAAGCCAGAGGATTGGAAAGCTTACAAAAACCAACAGAGGACAATGAAAAAAAAATAAGGAGGCAGAAGATTAAATAAGAGGATAAGCTAAACAGTAATATAAAAGAAGATTGCAAGAGTTTCTTTAAATGTATAAGGGCAAAGGAGAGGCAAAAGTGGACATTGGACCGCTGGAAAAAGATACTGGAGAAGTAGCAATGGGGAACAAAGAAATAACTGAGGAACTGAATAAGTACTTTGCGTCAGTCTTCACAGCGGAAGACACAAGTAATATTGCAAAAATTCAAGAGAGTCGGGAGGCAGAGGTGAGTATGGTGACCATCACCAAGTAAAACTAAAAGGTCTGAAGGTAGATAAACCACCAGGATGGACTACACCCCAGACTCTGAAGGAGATAGCTGAACAGATAGCAGAGGCGTCAATGGTGATCTTTCAGGAATCACTGGAGTCAGGGAGGCTCCCAGAGGACTGGAAAATTGCTAATGTCATCCCCTTGCTTAAGAAGGGAGTAAGGTAAAAGACGGGAGATTACAGGCCAATTAGCTTGACCTCAGTTGTTGGAGTCCATTGTGAAAGATGAGATTTTTGAATACTTGGAAGTACAGGGTAAAATAAGGAGAAGTCAGCATGGCTTCATCAAGGGGAGGTCAAGCCTGACAAATCTGTTAGAATTCTTTGAGGAGATAACAAGAATGTTGGACCAAGGAGAGCCAATAGATGTTATCTATCTGGACTTCCAGAAGGCCTTTGACAAGGTGTCGCACAGAAGGCTGCTGAGTAAGTTAAGGGCCCATGGTGTCAGAGGCAAGGTACTAGCATGGATAGAAGATTGGCTGTCTGGCAGAAAGCAGAGAGTGGGGATAAAGGGGTCTTTCTCAGGATGGCAGCCAGTGACAAGTGGTGTTTCACAAGGGTCAGTGTTGGGACCACAACTTTTCACTTTATACATTAATGGTCTAGATGAAGGAACTGAGAGCATTCTGGCTAAGTTTGCAGATGATACAAAAATAGGTAGAGGGACAGGTGGTATTGAAGAGGCAGGGAACCTGCAGAAGGATTTGGACAGCTTAGGAGAGTGGGGCAAAGAAGTGGCAGATGGAATACAACATGGGAAAGGGTGAGGTCATGCACTTTGGTAGGAAGCATAGAGGCATGGACTATTTTCTAAATGGGGAGAAAATTCAGAAATATGAAGTGCAAAGGGCTTGGAAGTCCTAGTCCAGAATTCTCTTAAGGTTAACTTGCAGGTTGAGTCAGTAGTTAGGAAGGCAAATACAATGTCGGCATTTATTTCGAGACGACTAGAATGTAAAAGCAGCGATGTACTTCTGAGGTTTTATAAAGCTCTGGTCAGACCACATTTTAGAGCATCTTGAGCAATTTTGGGCCCCATACCCCAGGATGGATGTTCTGGCCCAGGAGCAGGCCCAGAGGAGGCTCACGAGAATGATTCCAGGAATGTAAGGGTTAACATATGAGGAACATTTGAGGACTCTGGGTCTATACACGATGGAGTTTAGAAGCATGAGGGAGGATCTAACTGAAACTTACAGAATACTGAAAGATCTGGACAGAGTGGACGTTGGGAAGATATTTCCATTGGTAGGAGAGACTAGGACCCGAGGGCACAGCCTTAGAGTAAAGGGAAGACCCTATAGAACGAAGATAAGGAGAAACTTCTTCAGCCAGAGAGTGGTGAATCTACCGAATTCACTGCCACAGAAGGCTGTGGAGGCCAGGTCATAGACGGAGATAGATAGGTTCGTGATTGTCAAGGGGATCAAGGATTATGGGGAGAAAACCGGAGAATGGGGTTGAGAAACTTATCAACCATGATCGAATGGCGGAGCAGACCCGATCGGCTGAATAGCCTAATTTCTGCTCCTATGTCTTATGAAAACACCTTATTGATTAGAATGAAAACTTTACACTTCAGACAAGGAAACGGGAGCCTATGTGGTTCAGTATGGACAGTGGTGATAAGTCAGCGGGACTTGATGAGACATGGAATAAGGTAGAAATTTGAATGAGGTTTATGATGGGTGGAGGAGCAGGAGCACGGTCAGGTGTCTATTGGAATAGTCAAGTTTGAAAGTGGCAAAGGCCTGACTGAGTGCTGAGAAATTGACCTGAGATAACAGTTGAGATGTATGACTTAATGAGGATGAACTTTTGTGATAGAGGCTTCATGGGTTCAGAAGGTTGCTTTGTGAATGAATAAATGCAAATGGTACAATCTAGTTCAGTCTGAGACAATAACTGAGGAACAACATGGAATCAGTGGCAAGGTTATGGAATGCAAAACAGAGACAAGTCTTCCCCTAAAGTTTTAGTGGAAATTGTAGATCACCGACGATTCCAAGTTGGACATCACGTCCATCAGCATAACAGGCAGAGGAGGAGCTGGAGGCAATCTGAAATCAAAATGATATTGCCAGCATGGGCAGAATGCTGACTAACAGAGGGGCTGCAGGCAGACCTGTAGAGGCACAATAATAGAGGTGATACAAAAACAGAAGCCATTGCAGCAGGTCTTCTATGATTGGAGGATCAGAACTGGTAGCACACGAAGAAACTCCTATTTAGCCAGACAACAGAGAATGATTTTGAAGGAAGCTGATGGTATCATGGAACCATATTAAAGACTTCAGGGAAGTCAAGAGGACACATGTATGATAATATTCCACAGTTGAGCTGAAAAGCTGGTTAAAAAACAGCACAAACATGTTCAGATTTCATTGGGGATTGTATTTGAATATCTCTCGGAAACAGGTTTTCATTGAAATAAAGGAAGCTAATTGAAAACCATGTAAAATTAGCTACATTCAACATGATTATTGGATACAAGAGAGAAAGTATACCTGTGAAATCAATACAATTTCTGTACTTTTCAATTTCAAATTCTGATTCACCATTTTGCTGAATATTAGAAAGGAAGTGTGAGAAATCTACCAATATATTTCGTGAAAAAGGTATTGCTGAGCAACAGTAACACGATAATAGTTTGATTTACAAGCAGAAACATAACAGGATATGAAAACAGTAGTACATGTTTATAACATCAACACCCTCATGCCTTCAACATTAAGATTGTTTATCAGAGTTTGAAGAATAAGACAATATGAAATGACAAGTGGACATGTTAAAGTTGATAGGAGAATGTCAAGGATGTGTTTTGTGATAAGAAATAGGATATACAGAACCACTATACAGTACTAATCCATGCTGAGCCTTATCACAGCTGATCAACCTCCTCTCTCATACTGTGCATGTAATTGCAGTGATTTGTGTTGATGGAAAATTCAGCAAGATAATGAAAACGAAGCATACCCAGATTATCTGATACATTCCTGAAAATACATTGAAATTAGACTTACTTTAAAACTATCAGAAATATTGGAAAGGTGCAACATGGCTATTAGATATAGAATACCAAGCCACTTGCATCAGTTTGATATGATAGCTCATATCATTTCCATTTCAGCTAGAAGATTTTAGGACACCAGGTCAGTTGATTGGGGGCTTGAAAAGAAGAACATGCTCTATTTATAATCAGCCAAAGTCAAAGAATATTTATGTTCTTGCTTTATGTTCAAGTAGTTTTGAAGTAGTGAGTGCTATGAAGAATAAAATCATTAAAATGAAGTTTAGAATTATTAAATATCACCCTCTATTTTGTGGTGAAAGAATTAGCTGAGTACCCCTCAAAAGATTTGAAATCTTGATCAAATTCCACACAAGTACATAGCAAATCTATTAAATGATAATTTATATGAAATCAAAATATTGCAGATGCTGGAAATACAAAATAAAAATTGAAAGTGTTGGTTACACTCAGAAAGTGTGGCAGTATCTGTGGAGTGAGAAACAGAGTCAATGCTGTAAGTCAAATATGACTTTTCTTCAGAACCCATGATAATTATGTTGATTGTTGGGAAGAATCCAAAAATCTCAAAGACAAAACATACCAAGGAGGTCTATTACAGATTTGTGCTACCAGGGTTAAACTCTACTTACTGGGAAAGAATATTGGGAATTTGAGTGCACTCCTCTTCAGCTTTAATTTTTTCTTCCATTTATGGACAGAAAATCTTGGAAAATATAAAAATTCCCAATTGATGAAGCTCTGTGTCAGGAATGCAAAATGCATTAAATTATCTTTGCAATGTTTTAAACAGATTGTAACCATTTGCAAATAAAAACAATTTTGGATGAATATATATATTTGAAAAGTATGGATAGATGTGGGAAAAAAGACAACGTGAAACAAAAAAAACAAAAACATAAAATACTGAAAAGTCTCAACAGATCATGTAGCATTTGTGAAGATTGAAACAATTAATGTTTCAGATCAGCAACCTTTCATTACAAGTGGAAAATACAATAGTTTTTGAGCAAATACAAGGGGCAGGGATCAGGGAGGGAAGGAAAGACAGAAAGAGAAGATAGGGTGAAAGGCAGGAGAGTGTAAATGACAAAAGGGGTGGTGATGCTTGGCAAATGTATAGTAGTAGGGAAATCAAACATGAGAAGGGAAGTGGAAAACAATCAAGTCGAACAAGGTGAAAGAAACAATGGAAATCTCATCCACTGATGCTACCTAACCTGCTGAGTACTTTCAGTATTTTTCCTCTTTCAGATTTCCAGCATCAGCGGTATTTTGCTCTTGTATAGGTAAAAAAAAAGACAATACACACACACCACAACACACTCCCCCACCACCTCCACCGCCCCCCCTCAACCTCTTGGGTATGATTATTAAATTTGTTTATGGATTTTAGTAAGTGTTTCACCAACATAATGGTTTTAACTTAGTAAAATAGCCCATTCATGGAAGTGTAATCAGGCAAACATTGGATGACAGGGAGCTAGGTAAGGGGATTCTAAGTGAAGACTTTTGGACAGGGAATTCCAGGGCTAAGGGCCTAGATGACTAAAGACTTAACTGCTAATGAGGGAGAGAAGGAAAAGCCTAGTAGCTCAAAAGGTCTGTACTGGAGGAATGGAGAGATCCCTTGAGTTGTAGGGCTGGAGGAAGTTACAGAGAGAGGGTACAGTGAGGCCATATAGGGATCTGAACGAGATAGAATTTCAAAATTCAGGTGTTTGCACACCTGGAGCCAACATACAGATCAGCAAGGATAAAGGTAATAGCTGAATGAGACTTGGTTTGAGTTATGATAAGGGCATAATTTTGAACGTGTTTAAGCTTAGGGGGTTAAATTAGCAACACCATGGTCCAATGTGGTAAGCTGAATAAACTAATGCTTTACTTTGCATCTGTAAATATAATTGTGTCAAAAAAATCCTTTGCGTACACTTTGTCCCTAAATTTCTATGTTAATATTTATAAACTGAGAGATAAGGAAACTGGTTACATTGTAATTACAGCCAGTCAGCAACAATGACAGCGTAGCACCTCAGCTCTCCATCTCCCATAGGGTGTTCCTCAGCTCCTTTTTCTTCAAGATACAGAATACCTATATTGAATTATAAGGCTAAATTAATAAACAAAGCATTCAGGTTTAACTTGGTTTCAGAAATGTACAAGTGTGATGGCACCAAATTACGGGAGAGAGTGAAATCTGGGAATTTTAAGATTGTGGGAGACACAGCAAGATACTGATTTCTATTCTCAACCACTTTTCAGTAGAAAGGATTGTAGAATAAGTTAGATCTAAGTATGATAGTTTAAAATGAAACTAGGTGCACACAGGTTGAGTCTTGTAGCCATATGCTGCAGCCAAAGAGGGAATTGATGTGTTAATGAGCTAACTGTCCATAATGTTAGCACAATGGATGGGGACAATAAGTAATTTGTTATCTTAATTCTGATTCCTGGCAGGCTATCCCTTCAAGATGATATTCTTGGGTTTTCAGCAGGGGGTTGTCAGGACTTTTTTCACTAGAGCTTAGGAGGTTGAGGGGTGACCTCATAAATTTATAAAATCATGAGGGGCATAGATAAGTTGAATAACAAAGGTCTTTTCCCTTACATGGGGGTGTTCAAAACTAGGGGTGAGAAAGATTTAACAAGGACAATGAGGGACAACGTTTTTTTTTAAATACAGAGCATAGTTTGCATGTGGAATGAACTGCCAGAGAAAGTGGTGGATGGAGGTACAGTTATAACGTTTAGAAAATATTTGGATGAGTACATAAACAGGAAAGGATTGGAGGAATACAGGCCAAATGCAGGCAAGTAGGAATAGTTTAGTTTGGGAACATTGTCGGCATGGACTAGTTGGACCAAAGGCTCTGTTTCCATGCTGTATGACTTGGGAGGGAAGGAACCAGGTCAACTGGTAAAACCTGGAAAGAAACCGAGTGGACAGTGTTCCCACCTCCTGTGAATACAGGAGATAAAGGACACAAGGTCAATCAGATCACTCAGTGAAAGGCAATCCCACTGAGGCCAGGTCAGTTTAATCCTCAGGCAGTCTATTAGCAATTTCAGTCACCAATCAGGACATGATTTTTTGTTACTGTTTCTTATTCAAGAGAGTGTGTAAAAAAACTTGGCAGATGGAATATAATGTGGGGAAATGGGTGGTTAAGCATTTTGGCAGCAAGAATAGAGGAGCTAAATATTATTTAAATGGAGAAAGACTGTAGACAGTTACAGAATAGAGGGATTTGGGAGTCCTCGTCCATGAATCACAAAAAGATGGCATCCAAGTGTTTAAAGCTGATAAGAACAGATACTACACTTGATCATAGCCAATAGGCCGAGAAGTATTGCTGCCTCACGGCGCCAGGGACCCGGGTTCGACTCCAGCCTCGGGCGACTGTCTGTGTGGAGTTTGCACATTCTCCTCGTGTCTGCGTGGGTTTCCTCTGGGTACTCCGGTTTCCTCCCACAATCCAAAGATGTACAGGCTAGGTGGATTGGCTATGTTAAATTGCCCGTAGGGTTCAGGGATGCGTAGATTAGGTGGTTATAGGGGGATGGGTCAGTGTGGACTTGTTGGGCTGAAGGGCCTGTTTCCATACTGTAGGGATTCTATGATTCTATGAAGTTCAATGGTTAATAGGGAAAGCAAATGGAATGTCAGCCTTTATTTCAAAGGGAATGGATATAAATGTAAGTAGGGTCTGCTAAAAGTACACACGGCATTGGTCAGACCATAGCTGGATTACTATGAACAGATTTAGGCCTTCATTTAAGGAAAGGTACACTGGAATTGGAGCCAGTCTAAACAATGCTCACAAGGCTGATACCTGGCATGAAGAGATTGTCTTAGGAGGAGACGTTTAGTAGATTGGGCCTATACTTGTGGGAATATCAAAGAATGAGAGGCGATCTTATTAAAACAAAACATGTAAGATTCTTAGAGGACTTGGCAGGGTAGATGTATAAAGGTTGTTTCTCCTTGTGAGTGCGTCTAGGACCAGAAGGCATAATCTTAGACTAAGGGTTGCATGTTTAAGACAGAGATAAGGAGGAATTTCTCTTCTCAGAGGATGGTGAATCAGTAGAATTCTTTAGCACAGGGGCTGTCAAGGCTGGGTCATTAAGCATATTAGAGGCTGAGATAGACTATAAGATTCTCAGTAAGAGAACCAAAGAGTGATGGATAAGAAGCAGGAAAGTGGAGTTGAGAATGATCAGATCAGCCAAAATCTCACTGAATGGTAGAACAGACTCAATGGGCAGAATGGTCTACTTCTGATCTTATGTATTTGATTTGATTTATTATTGTCACATGTTCCAAGACACAGTGAAAAGTATTGTTCTGCATGCTAACCAGACAAATCATACCTTACATCAGGATAAGAGAACAGAATACAGAATATAGTATTACAGTTACAGAAAAGGTACAGAGAAAGATCAACTCTAATATATGAGAGGTCTGTTCATGACTCTGATAACAGCAGGGAAGAAGGTGTTCCTAAGTTTGTTGGTATGTGTTTTCAAATTTTTGTACCTACTGCCCATTGAAAGAGGTTGGAAGGAAGTATAACTGGAGTGAGAGTGATTATGTTGACTGCTTTCCCAAGACAGTGGGGAATGTAGATGGAATCAGTGGAAGGAAGGCTGGTTTTCGTGATGGACTGGGCTGCGTTTACAACTCTCCAGAATTTCTTGTGGTCCTGGGCAGAGCAGTTGCCGTACCAAGCAATGATACATCTGGATAGGTTGCTTTCTATGGTGCATCTATAAAAATTGGTAATAGTTATTGTGGACATGCTGAATTTCTTTAGCCTTCTGAGGAAGGAGAAGTGTTGGTGTGCTTTCTTGACTGTATCATCGACATGGATGATTGTTGGTAATACTTACTCTTGGAAACTTGAAGCTCTCCATCTCAGCACCATTGATACAGACAGGGCATGAGCTCCACTCCACTTTCTGAAGTCGATGACCAACTTCTTCATTTTGCCGACATTAAGGGAGAGATTGTTATCTTTACACCATGCCACTAAGTGGTCTATCTCCTTCTTGCACTCTGTCTCATCATTGGTTGAGATTTGACCCACTATGTGGAGTCATCAGCAAATTTGTAAATGGAGTTAGAGCTAAATTTGGCCACACAGTTGTGAGTGTATAAGGAGTATGGTAAGGGGCTGAGTATAACTTAAGTAAAGTAGCTTAGATTTCATTATAACAGATACAGTGCGTAAAATAAAGGATTTTAACAACAAATGTCTGGATTTCAATCATCATAACCACCAAACTTTGCTGCTGGAACCCCCAGCCTTCCCTTGTTGCCTCCAAAATTCACTACTCTAATGCACTCCCAGCCAGCATTGCATACTATCCTCTGAACTTGAGGTCATCCAAATGCTGCTACCCATGCCTTCATTCACACCAAATTGCATTCATCCACCATCCCTGTGCTTGTTGGCCTCAATTGGATTCCACCTAAACAATACCTTGTTAAACTATCACCTTTGTTTCCAAACCTCTATGGCCTTACCCTTGTTGATGTCTGTAATCTCTTCCAGCCCTAGAAGTCTAAGATACTTGTGCTCCTCTAATTCAGTACTCTGCAGCATGCTCAATTTTAATCACTCCACTATTACAGGTCATGCTTTCAGCTGTCTAGGTTCTAAGGTCTTGAATTCCCTCCTACACTTCTCTGTCCCTGAACCTTCCTTTCCTCATTCAAGTTGATCCATCAAATCTGCCTCTTTAATCAAGATTTTGGTCACCTAATATTTCTATGTGGCTCAGTGTCATACTTTTCTTTACAATACACCTTGGAGGTGCTTAGGGATGTTTTAGTACAGTAAAGACATTATAAATACAGATAACAAGGTGTAGAGCTGAACGAACACAGCAGGCCAGGCAGCATCAGAGGAGCAGGAAAGCTGACGTTTTGGGTCTGGACCCTTCTTCAAAAATGGGTCATCGCAGTTGGGGCCAAATTGGGAAGGCCTGAAGTGGACTGCAGTCCATTGGGGATGATCTGGTTCCATAGGCAGGTACTAAGAAAGGCAATGTGGCTGTAGTACCTGGTTTGCTTCAGGACGTGGTCGAGCAGTTTCAGGGCCGAAGATATTATGAGAGGGTTGCAGTGGGAGAGAGGTCCACTGAGGTCTTTCCGGAGGGAGGAGGGTAACTTCTTCAAGGTAGGCATCCTTAGAAGAGGCTTCGCAGTGGGGTTAAAACTCACTCAGAGATAGTAGGAACTGCTGATGCTGGAGAATCTGAGATAACAAGCTGTAGAGCTGGATGAACACAGCAGGCCAAGCAGCATCAGAGGAGCAGGAAAGCTGGCGTTTCAGGTCTGGACCCTTCTTCAGAAATAAATTTACAAGTTGTTATTGAACTTCATGGCAGTAAATGTCATATCCTGTTTAAACAAGGAGCTACGGTTATTCGGCCCTAGGTCACACTATCACATTATTAGATGTTGAGAAAGGTACATTCTTCCTATGGGAGTGACCAGCACCACCTAAAGTGAAAAATGAGGCAGGTTTGTGATTTCTAAGAATTGTGACAGTGCTGGGATATTAATTTACACTGGTGGCAAAGGTGAAGTAATATAATTAACATGTAAAATTGAACAAAACAGACATCACCTAATAAAAGAGATAACAAGGTGTAGAGCTGGATGAACATTTTCTGAAGAAGGGTCTAGGCCCGAAACGTCAGCTTTCCTGCTCCTCTGATGCTGCTTGGCCTGCTGTGTTCATCCAGCTCTACACCTTATTATCTCAAATTCTCCAGCATCTGCAGTTCCTACTATCTCTCACCAAATAAAAGACAGGCAACCCTGTCAGGCAAAATCTGAACTTGTACAATTGGTAGCAGAAAAGAAAGTGAAGGAAAGAGAGTTTCAATCAGAAACTGAGCATTATAGATAAAAGAAGAGATAGATAAACAGGTAGGGTGGAAATTCAATGTCAAGAAGAAACTGAGTCAGTGTAAGACCATCAAGGAGAAAAGTGCCCTTAAACAGGCAGAGAAACACGCATTAGCAAGAATACATCCAGCAAGTTAGGTCAAGGCTTAAAACTTTACAAAATTAAAATACTGCAAGTTTTAGAGACTGTGGAACATCTACGAGACTGAATGCATCATCGATAGGTATACATAGTACATTTAAATATTTTTAAGGAAGAAGTAGGTAAGAGTCCTGACTTCCTATGGTGCTGAAAGATTATCAGAGATACACAGGAATGCAAAATTGAGATTAAGATCCAATCAGCCACGAGTTTATTGAATGGGCTCAGGCTCAAAGGGCTGAGTCATCCACTCTTGCTTCTTGTTAATATACCGAAATGTGAGTACTCTGCAGGCTAAGACTCTGTAGGCAGGGAGGGGATGGATGACCACCAGACAGAGAAAGAGGACTAGGCAGGCAGTGCAGGAGTCTCCTGTGGCCGTTTCACTGAAAAACAGATGGATTGCTTTGGATAATAACATGGAGAATGGCCTTTCAGGCAAAAGTAGCAACAGCTAAATTCATTACACCACAGCTCAGTCTGCTGCCAGAGGGGAACAATAAGTGTGGGAGTGCAATAGTAAATAGGGGATTCAATCTAAGGAAAATAGATACACATTTATGTGGCTGCAAACGAAACTCCAGGATGGTATGCTGTCTCCTGGGTGCGAGGATTAAACATGTCACACTGGCTACAGGACATTCTGGACGGAGAGGATGAACAGCCAGTGGTTGTGGTACACATCGTTACCATCAACATTGGGGGAAATAAAAAAAACAAGGTCTTAAAAGTATAATGTAGGGAGTCAGGAAACAATTTAAAACGTAGGATCTCAACGGTAGTGATCTCAGGATTACTATCAGTGCCAACTGCTAGTCAGAGTAGAAACAGGAGAATATTTCAGATGAATGTGTGGCTGGAAAGGTGGTGCAGGGCATGGTTTCAGATTCCTGGGACATTAGGACTGGATTTGGAGGAGGTGGGACCAGCACAAACTGGATGGTTTGCACCTGGGCAGCACTGGAACTGATGTCCTAGGGGAATACTTGCTAATGTGGTTGGGGGAGGTCTAAACTAAAATTGCGGGGGCTGGGGATATATATAGGGAGACAGAAGAGAGGGGAACAAGGACAAAAAACAAAAGACAGAATGGGAAATATGAGAAGTGATAGGTCGAGAATTTAAGTGCAAGAATTAAACAGGGTGACACTGCGAACAGGACTAACTGCTAAAGAGTAAAGCCTTAAGGCCTTGTATCTTAATGTGCAGAGCATTTGCAAGAAAGTGGATGAATTTGTCCTACAAATAGATATCAATGGGTATGATACAGTTGAGATTACAGAGACAT